GTGTCCTGGGTCACTCTCTTGTCCATATCCAAGGCCTGTGACTTGTTCCCCCAGCTTCTGACACTGTGCCCCCCCTCCCTTCTCAGGTGACTCAGCTAGACATGGCCTTCATCCGCAAGGATCCCTATGGCATGGTGCTGATCATCGGGCCATGGAATTATCCTGTCCAGCTCATCCTGGTGCCACTGATTGGGGCTATTGCTGCTGGTAAGTGCCCAGTGCAAACGCACACCCTTAGCAGAGACCCGTATCCCCTTGTGAAGGCTCCCCATACAGCGCTTCCTACTACCTCTCTTTGGAATACCTCTCCTGTAGTGGGTCAGGGTGCTGAATTATTGGGGTGGTTCAGTGCTACGAGAGTCAGCTTCTGCAGTGGGTCCAGGCTCTGTGACTAGTGGCTGTGTGGGTGGTGTCTCTCGGCTCTGTGGTGATGTCCCACTTGTCTTACCTCCAGGTAACTGTGTCATCATCAAACCTTCTGAGGTTAGCAGCTGTGTTGAGAAGCTCATAGCTGAGATGTTGCCCAGCTACCTGGACAAGGTGAGGAGCTGTGCCCTCCCCTGGCACTTTGGCTCATCCCCTATGTTCCCCTGCACCATGTCTCCACCCACAGCCTATTCCCTCACACCTCATGGTCCCATGTTCATCCCTCAACGTTTTCCCCTGCATTGAGAGTGAATGGGGTAGTGGGGAGAGCTGGATAGAGGGAAGGTCTGGGCAGGGTTCCCACACACACACACCCACACACACACACCCACACACTTTTTGATGGGCCTGACCAAATTCCATTCAGAAGGGCCTGGTGAACTTCATCCTAGGCTACTGAAGGAACTGGCAGAGGTAATATTAGAGCCTTTGACAATAATATTTATGAAGTCATGGGAGATGGGTGAGATACCAGAAGAGTGGAAATGAGCCAGTGTAGTACCCCACTCTAGAAAGGCAAGAAGGTGGGCTTCGGGAACCACAGATTGGTAAGCCTTACCTCAATACCAAGGAGTTTACTGGAGCATATCCTAAAGAAGAGTATTTACAACCATCTGGAGAAGGAAAGGCTGATCACAAGCACTTGGCATGGATTTACTAAGAACAAATCACATCTAGCTAACTTGATCTCCTTCTTTGACAAAGAAGCTACTTGGGTGGCTGAAGGAAATGCTGTGGATATAGTGTACCTGGACCTCAGCAAGGCTACGTTACCTTTTCATAAGCAAATTGGAGAAATGTAGGCTAGATGAAACTACTCAGGTGGGTAAACAACCTGCTCAATAGCTGCAAGCAAAGAGTACATAGATACATACATACATAGATCCAGGTCGGAATGGCAGGAAGTTTCAAATGGAGTTTCACAGAGTTCTGTCGTGGCCCCATTGCCGTTCAACATGTTTGTTAATGATTTGGAAGCTGACACAGAAAGCTTCTTAAGCAAGTTTGCAGATGACACAAAACTGGGAAGGATTGTGAATACACTGGAGAATGGGAGTGCAACTGAGAAGAATCTTGACAAATTGGAAAGCTGGTTGGAGCTAACAGGATGAAGTTCAATACTGACAAATGCTACAACTTCAGATGAATAATCAGAAATACAAAATGGGTGACACTTGGCTGGATGACAGTACTATAGAAGAAGATATGGGAGTCTTGGTAGATCAGACTCAATATGGGTCTGTAGTGTGATATAACTGCACAAAAGGTGAATGCAGTTTTGGGATGCATCAATAGAAGCATTAGGTACACGAAACGAGAGATGATAGTTCTCACTACTAGGTGCAGGTTATGCCTCATCTAGAGTAACGTGTGCAGTTTTGGGCTCTACATTTTAAAGGTATGTGGAGAAGTTAGAGAGAGACCAGAGGCGGGAAATAATAATGATAAAGGGCTTGGAAGGCAAGTCATACAAGGAGAGGCTGAAGAAAATACGCATGTTCAGCTTGCAGACAAGGCACTTAAGATGGGACAAGATAGCAGTCTTCAAATACCTGAAGGGCTGCCATAAAGAAGAAGAAAAACACCTTTTCTGTGTTGATTCAGAGAGTAGGACTTGCAGCAAAGGATGTTTATATTGGTTATTAGTAGGGATTTCTGGAATTCACTCTGGAAGTGCACAGTGTGGTGGCTTCTGTAATCTTGGAGTTTCCCCCATCAGGTGTGGGTGACGAACAACAGGGTCTCTCTGCCAATCAGCAGTGGGGTGGGGGCTACACGGGGGAGACTCCAAAATCAAAGAAGCTGCCGTGCCGCAGACTTTCAGCGTGAATTCTGGGGATCCCTAGATGTTAGAAAACATTTCTTCACTGTTAGAACAGCAAGGCAGTGAAACAGACTGCCTAGGAAAGTTGTGGACTTTTCATCGTTGCGGGTGTATGAGAAGACGTTGGGCAGACATTGGTCAGGGGTGTTCTAGGCATAGCTATCCTAGGTTTTACTTTTGTTATTTCCAGTCATGGGTGACTGGTGCCTCCTTAGTCAGGGACACGTCCCCCTCCTCT